TGCGAGTCGTATGCAAAACGGCGTACGGGGAAAGCCTGTACGTTCAGACGCACAGGGTATGCATAACAACATGAATAATTAAAGCTGGGGGACTTAACTTTTAACTATGTAATCACAATAGCGTGCTCAAAAATGGTTCTAGGTTTTCACATACAGGCTGAGGGGATAGCACTCTCGCTATTCTCAGCAAGTATGTCCTGGGTTTGAATCCTGTTTGAACTTCTGTGTGGAGTTTGCATGTTCTCCCTGTGTCTGAATACAATACAATACAATACAATACAATACAATTTATTCTTGTATAGCCCTAGGTCACAACAGAAGTCATCTCAGAGACTTAACAAAACCATTGAAATCACCAACACAGGTCAGAGAATCAACAGTTAACACATGGAGAATATAAAGCACACACAGAATAGGTTTCCTCCTAGTGCTCCTGGAGGAAATGAAAATTATGTATTCATTTCATTTCATAATTCACTGCCTCATTATGATGTTGTTTTTCCCTTCAGAACGTTACACAGCAGAGGGGATTCCATATTCTTCAGGGTCCGTAGAGGACTGTCGTTGTACAAGCCCACCTCTGAAATCCTTCGCAGCGAAAGTCACGTTTTGATCGTCCCCGTTCTTTGTGAAGGAGTTCAACCTCGCAATCTCAAAATCTCCAAACATTTGTGTCCGAACGATGACTCCCAAGGCTGCGTTGGATTCTGCTTTATTCATTCATTCATGTACTGAATGCACGGCGGCTGTCGGGGACTTCACACCAGGACTCCCACGATCAGGAAACGACCAGAACTCCCAGAGCCGTCACTTTGACTGCTCTCAGTCAAACCGATGGGGTTCTGAGCAATATCCCCACAAAAAAGAAAATAATTCAAATACAGAAGTACATAGTTTCACCTTTACTTGTATTGTAAACATTGTAATATGCAACTTGTTCTGATATATGCTCAAAATATACAAATACAATCATTTCAATTAAAAAGTAGTTTTTCGACCGATGTACTAAAACTAGGTCATTTTTAAGTTTTGGTGTTTTTTTTTTTTAATTGTGCTGAATATAACAGTTTGTTGAAAGGCTAACAAATGCTAACAGGTAGCAAGCAAATATTACATTATGTTGCTATGGTAACTAGTGGTACTGATACTGACTCGGAGGTAACGGTAAAACTAAACTCATTTCAAAACTAAAATAAAATATCTTAAAAATAATGGCATAGAAATAAACTTTAAATAGAAACAGCAGAAGTCACAACGTTTTTAAAGGACGAATCCAGCTGGGACCATAACAGCTGAATAGACAAGAGTTTTATCAACAACAAATCTATAACCAACACCTTTTTCACAAAGATAGAAATCCTGGTTTTATTCCTTGTTTTGTCGTTAATGATTTGAGAATCATAACGAGACCTTTTTTAGTTCTGCGCCACATGGTACTTTACCAGTGAGATTAGCTCCACATGGTACTTTACCAGTGAGATTAGCTCCACATGGTACTTTACCAGTGAGATTAGCTCCACACGGTACTTTACCAGTGAGATTAGCTCCACACGGTGAGTTCTGGCGCCCGGATCACAGACTTTCTGATTGGTGAAACGGTGGAGGGCGGGACATCGGAATGAAAACAATAACAAGATTTAGAGGCTGGAAAAGTAATTTAGAAATTCATATATCTCTGTTGTTGTCACTATTGTTATCAGTTAAAGAAGTATTGGAAAAGAGCAGGTTTTATTACTGTGTCAGATTAGGGCCCTTTAATGATGTCAGATTAGGGCCCTTTAATGATGTCAGATTAGGGCCCTTTAATGATGACAGATTAGGGCCCTTTAATTATGACATATTAGGGCCCTTTAATGATGACAGATTAGGGCCCTTTAATGATGACAGATTAGGGCCCTTTAATGATGACAGATTAGGGCCCTTTAATGATGACAGATTAGGGCCCTTTAATGATGACAGATTAGGGCCCTTTAATGATGACAGATTAGGGCCCTTTAATGATGACAGATTAGGGCCCTTTAATGATGACTTGACATGAAAATCTTAAATATCACTTCTTTAAGTTACCAAACATGTACCTACGTTAAGTAACTACACTCACAAAACTAAAGGGAAGAACAGGATTAGCCCAAATATATTCCACCAATAAACAGTCTTTCTTCTCTGTGTTGTCATCGTGTGAGGCACAAATACCATGCTACAAATCCCGGTTTGATTCCATAATCTGTTTGGTATTGTGTCATGGGTGTTTTTTAAGCATGTCATTGCTGTTTTCGCTTCCAATTGCGGCGTCGTTGAAATGCAGACATGTTGCAATGGCGTCTTGCACATTGGCTCGCGCTTCCCGTGCGGTTTTAGGGATTAGTCTGTGCCTGAGTGCCTGGAATGATGATCAGAGCAGCGGAGAAACACATTTTACCATTTCAGGAGATAAGGGCCAAGCAATCAGCAAGCAGGACTTAACCAAGTTCCCCATGGCTCTATGTAGAGCCGACAGGACGAGAGAGAAGAAGTCTCAACCGAGCGCCAACCCGACCATAAAGTCAGAGGAACACCCGCGACGGCATCTCCGCTAGAATAGAAATGAACACCCGCGACGGCATCTCCGCTAGAATAGAAATGAACACCCGCGACGGCATCTCCGCTAGAATAGAAATGAACACCCGCGACGGCATCTCCGCTAGAATAGAAATGACAAACGGTGAATAACTGGCAGAGTTTACCCGTTGGGAAGCCAACCATGATGCTAATATTCAACTACAAGAAACGTCCCAGCGAAGCCAAAGAATTCACATATAAAGTGGTATTACAGGTCTATTGTTGCACTGTATCATGACCCAGTGCAGGCAGGTGAACACACAAGAACACACAAGAACACACAAGAACACACAAGAACACACACGAACACACAAGAACACAGAAGAACACACAAGAACACAGAAGAACACACAAGAACACACAAGAACACAGAAGAACACACAAGAACACACAAGAACACAGAAGAACACAGAAGAACACACAAGAACACACAAGAACACACACGAACACACAAGAACACAGAAGAACACACAAGAACACACAAGAACACAGAAGAACACACAAGAACACAGAAGAACACACAAGAACACAGAAGAACACACAAGAACACACAAGAACACAGAAGAACACACAAGAACACAGAAGAACACACAAGAACACACAAGAACACACAAGAACACACAAGAACACACAAGAACACACAAGAACACAGAAGAACACACAAGAACACACAAGAACACACAAGAACACACAAGAACACACAAGAAAACACAATACAGCAGAATATAATATCTTTTTTGGACACTCAAAGACCCGTCACATGTTATTATTCTTTCACTCCATACACGGTGGTGATAAATACTACTGACAGAAATGAGGCCAAGTATGTGCCATTGCCCCAACCATTCACACACACACACACACACACACACACACACCAGGTGAAGTGTCTTGCCTAAGGACACACAACAGCAGTTGACATCGGTGGGTGTCATTGGAGAAAGTCTTGTGGTGGGCTCAAACCCTCGACCTTCAGGCTCAAAGGCCAACGCTCTGTCGCTCCATACTATTCTGAGTAAATGTTGGTAAACTAGGATTTAAACAAATATATTTTCCATGTGTAAAAAGTTTGTACTTGAAGGTTTAAGGAGGATTTTCCAAAATTTCAGGAAGGAACCGCCCTCTTCACTTTTTGAACAAAACTCTCTGCTCTGATTGGACGAGCACGTATCACCAGAATGATTGACAGTTGGGAGGACCAATAGTCTTGATGATCCACACAGAAGTAGAAATCCTCCTATGTACTGTACCTTTTAAGTTTTGCTTTTTCATCATTCTAAAGTTTTTAGGCTTCGCTCCTTTTTGTGCTAAAGATAAAGATTAAATACTGCCTCGTTTTATGATCAACTTAGAGATTTTATTTTATTTTGTTTTTAATATAAATTCATGTATCTTGTGCTGTGTGCTCATCATTCCTTTTGTTTTGTAACTTGTGATGCAACACTGGAATTTCTCCACCCCGAAACCCATAAAGCATCACTTCACCTTAATCTAAAAGCAAAAATATACAGGCGTGAATAAATAAAAAAATCATAAAAGGAAGGAATTTTATTTTTTTGACAAGACATCAATGCAACAGGTGGGTGAAGTGTGTTGCCCAAGGACAGCCTGGCGTATGGAGGAAGCTATTACTACCGTTCAAATCTTAACCCTGAGGAAAAGGCCTGGAGCTGAGCCAAAATAAAAGCATAAGAATTCTTTAATAACCTTTGCAATGGCCTGATCAGCGGCGGTTCTTCCAGAGGTTATTAAGGTAATGTGTTGTTTTTGAACAGTTTAATGAGATAGACCTGGTCGAACAATATAATAGCAGCAAAAACAGAGATAAGTACCACATTTCCACATCAGACGATTCAGAAAGAGCAAGAAAATTACGCTGATGATGCATTCTACCTGACGGGAACAGCTTGCACCGGCTCTACCCCATTCCTCAGTAAACAGGAGGAGGAGGAAAAATGCTAACTACTGCAGGTTCCCAGGATCAAAGATGTATTTCTGCATAAACTCACCTACGATCAACTCCCACGTGTTCTACAACGGCTGCATTTGATAAAGTCTGTTTCTATGGTCCCCCCCCCAAGTCCCGCAGGTAATGAAACTTAGCTAAAGGAAGTAGATCTGCCTCTGATATTGGTGAATCATCAAATAATATTGTAAGTGAAGTCCAAAAAATGTATGTATTTGAATGGGACAGGTGTCAATACGTAGGTCAGTCAAAAAGTACATATCAGTGGGTCTTGACTTGAGGCCTTTGACAACTGGACTGATTCCAGTTTCCAGGTGATGTCTGGTGATCTGAACTTGACTCACAATTTTGTATTCAAATTCTTGGTAATTTGTGTATCAGTACAGAGACACCTGCAAGACCAAGTATGCACTGGTTTTAGGAGAACCACATTTGGTCAGTCCACTTCATTAAGACGGGCAAACAGTGGGAACTCGCTGACCTGAAGAGTGTGGGAATGTCTTGAGGATGTTAGATCACTGTTGTAAATATGTGTTTTAAGTCTCCATCCATTCATCAATTTCTTTCCCCTTATTTTCTGCTGCACCCTTTTCACAGAGCACCAGCCCCTCACTGATCCTCCTGCAGGTGCTGAGTCCACAGGAACCTTGATCTTTCAGCGGGGGATTCAGGCAAAGTGGGGTTAAGTGTCTTCCCCAAGGACACAACAACAGCAGACATCATTGAGAGTCTTGAAGTAAGTCTCGTGGTGGACTTGACCCCACGACTTTCAGGCCCAAAGACCAATGCTCTACCAACTGAGCCAGTGTAGCCAAGCTCAACCAAGGACAGGAGTAGAAAACTAGCATTAGCGACACTCTCTGCCTGTATCACATCACTGTCAAATGAACAAATCAACGGAGAACTAAACTCTTTACAACAGGACAAATATTGCATCAAGTATCGTGAACATCCATCCATCCATCCATTTTCTTCCCCTTAATCCATTTCTGGGTCGAGGGGGTGGCAGTCAGAGCTGCACCCAGTACACTCAGCCCCAGCCCCTCACTGATCCTCCTGCAGGTGCTGAGTCCACAGGAGTTGAGATCTTTCAGTGGGGGCTTGTATCGTGAACAATACATGAAAATATGCAAATATGCAGTATGTTTTGTTTTATTGACAAAAATCCAGCTTGAAACAGACTAGGAAGAAGTTAAGACTTTTAAACTCCGACACCCCATTTATTATTCTAAACTAACATAGTTTGCATCATCATATTGTTCACTACAGAACGAGCGACCGACAGCAGTGTGAGGAAGCTTACCTTTCCGACGTACTGCGCGTCCGGTCCCATGTGTTCTTCTAAAACGAAGAACTGGTTCCAGATCCACCCGCGCTTGGGTCTATGGTGAACCTCCTTTTCGCCGTTGGGCAGTTTGGTTTGGTTCTTTGAGGCGAGGACTTTGGCCGGGGCATGGTGGCTGGCCCCATAGCCCCTCTGGATGAAGCAGAGGCACACCAAGAACGGGCAAAGGCAAGAGGAACTCGGTATCCTCATGACGAAGTTTGTAAATTCCCTTTGTTGGAAGGTGGATCGACCCTCCCACCAACTCCCATGCAAACGCCTCGCCAACAGCCACTGCTGCAAAACCGTGGTCCAGCCAAAAACAAATCTAAATCCTTGTTAAGTCCAGCGTGGTTCGACTAGATCCTTTCAGATTCATGGTGGCGGGAAAAGTCGAAGAGAAAAACAGCTTTTACATTATTCCAAGAACGTCATCTGTCTGGAAGAGCTCAGCGTAGATTCACCGAGCGGTAATCCTAGAAGCCATTTTGGATTTCCTAAAAGAGGGAGAGAAAGAACAGACAGGGAGATTAGCGTGATGGATATTAGACGCTAAATGTCCGCTAATTCCTTCCAATTAAGTTGCAAGTCACAAATCCACAGATGAAAACGTGCATCGGTTTGTGATAAGGTAGGAGGGAATGGCAAGGCTTTTATTTGCCCCGGCGGCGTCTAAGACAAACAAGTTTCAGAGTTGGAAAAGGTTATTTAAAGGGTACAAGTGCCTGGTAGGGTGAAGCCGCTGTGCTAAATGACAGTCAGTGCCCTCAGAGGTCACAGAAGTACTAGAGAGAATGGAAATAAGAGCATGTGTTATTAAAATACATGAGGAATGTGTTAGAATGAGAGCTCAAGTCAGACTGCGACTCCCAACAGGGGCCTGAGATCTAATATTTTTTCTCAAATATGACTAAAGGGCTATTCTACTCCCAAACTTAATATACTTTTATGACAGGAGGGCGCGCCGAAATGAAGCAAGTTCAGACAGAGAAGATTCAACAATTTATGTGATCTAAAACGGGCACGATGAGATGGAAAAATGATTTCTTTGCAAAATGGGGTCAGTTTTGATTTGCTTCAATTTTCTCAACGTATAAAAGTGAAGTCTCAGTCTCAAAATAAATGCATACAGGAAACAGATTTCTCGATAGATTGCATTAAGAGATACAACCAAGGTACTAGCGTTGCAATAATACATATGTCAGTAAGTAAGCAGGCCATTCATGTAGTACAGGGGTGTCCAAACTTTTTAGTAATAGAGCCACAGCCGTTGACCTGACTTGTCCAGCGGCCGACAATACAGAGAGTAACAGCTTTGACTGGATCAGGCTGTTCTGAGCTTTGAAATGAGGAATGAAATGAGTCCAAATACTGTATATTCACATTTGACAAACATTTATTAGCTTACTATCACACCACAGATGCTTGAGCACCATATAAGACTGGTTTCATGTGGACTACCCAGAAAAATGTCCCTTAGAACTCAATGTAACTAAAACAGCTCGACCTCAGCTGACAGAGAACCTGACAGAGAACCTGACAGAGAACCTACAGAGAACCTGACAGAGAACCTGACAGAGAACCTACAGAGAACCTGACAGAGAACCTACAGAGAACCTGACAGAGAACCTACAGAGAACCTGACAGAGAACCTACAGTTTTCACAAAGGTCAGATTTTGTGTGGATTATAGTGTCCCTTGTCATCCTGAACTTTTTTGTCGAGTTAAATCCTTTTGGTTTTCTATAAATCTACACTTTAATGTAACAAATTCTGGTTGTTTTCTTCCCGCATTAGCTCCGCTCTGATCACAAGGACCAGATAAAATTAATTATGAATTATGAATCAATTATGAACGAGTCCCGCTAATTCTGTCCCCATCGCTTTCACATGATCCACTGAGCACAAGCCATTGATTTGAATAGGGCGCCATCTTGGATCACTGGGGCTTGGTCTGAGCTTCAAAACAAGGAGGAGCATGTCTATAATGAATTTGGACGACACAGTGAACTTGTGTGTATGATCTCAATGGCTAATTTGGGTTAGCAAGGCAGCCACATGACATGACACAGAGGGCCGCAATTGGCCCCGGACCTTAGTTTGGACATACCTGATGCAGTGTGTAATCTGTGATGTGTTTTCACTGCACAAAAACCCAAACCCTTTAAAATCTGGGGAGTCTGGGGAATGGGAATAAGTTCAACACCATACTGTGGAACATTCCAAGAAAAGCCTTTTTATACTTAATAAACTAAGATGGATCGGACTCTCCACCAAAGACGCATTGAGGCACGCACCTTTAAAAAAAGATCATTATAATACCGTATTTATCGCGTGTGCTACAGTTGTATCATCGAATCGTACAACAGCGAGACAGAGATGAAACACAGCCAGTCTGTTTTGATGTGCAAAATCCAAGATCTATGACACTAACAAGCGCCATCGCAGTAAACATTACATTTAAGCATAATAGGTATAGACAGCTCACGCAAACACACGCTATAATCCAACTTCAGAAAGACGTCTTTTCCTTTCGTTCATCTGAATAAAAGATGACATTGAGGAGACAGCACATCAGCGAGATTCTTCTTCAGTTTGTCAGATCCACACTGACCACTGCCCGAGCGTCTTCGCAGAAGTGGAATCAGGACGGGGCCTTTTCATACTCCAATGCATTCTTTTTTATGTTTATTGGATTCATTTATGCATCTACTCGGATCAAAGAGCCAGTGCGATGACAGCCAGACTTGTGTACATCATTAATTTAACGGAGAACTGCATGTGACCAAGGCTCATTTGAAATACATCGTTCTGTGATGTCCCGGTTGAACATTAAAGGAGAAAGCAGCATCTATCCACAACATGTACAATACAATACAATGTATTCTTGTATAGCCCTAGGTCACAACAGAAGTCATCTCAGAGACTTAACAAAACCATTGAAATCACCAACACAGGTCAGAGAATCAACAGTTAAAACACATGAAGAATATAAAGCACACACAGAAGAAAATGTCCATACATGTTGTAGAATGCTAAAGTGTCCTGATCATCACCAATCCTTTCTGTTGGACACTAACTGTCCAACAAGACCCTCCTGCATCGACAAGGAACAACTCTTAAAAAACCCAGTGGGAAAAAGTGAGAAACCTTGGGGAGAACTAGGGAAACCCACAGGGAGGGAGACCCATTTGAGAAAGGGATCCGCTCCTCCGGACGGAACATGTGACATAAACAACATTAAGGTTTCTATAATGCACATTGCTCACTTTGTGGAGGGACACATGTAGAAGACACAGGCAGAGGACATTAAAGGAGAAATGTTCACATCTGGCCACAGGTGGTACTGCAATCAGGGTCAATATTCTGTAATCCTCTCCCAGTCTAGCCTGGCCTGAGCCATCCACACTCTCCGGGCAACTATCATTCCCTGCATGTACCGTCTGGGTCTGGTCCCTGGGATTACATTGGTAGAATTCCATCCAACCAATCAGCGAGCGCAAACGGGCTGGTTGTAGTTTGGCGAAGAATGCAATAGTAAAGTATTCTGGTCTGGTTCTATCAATAAATTGAAGCCGGAGCAAGAGGAATGTATTCTCTGGCAACGATTGTGGCGCTACTCCCCGCGGGCTTCGTTAGCGGCAAAGGAGATGGCTAAAGCTAAATGCTAACGACTCACTCAGGCTCATTACATACGTCACGGTAAACTCAGATCCAATGGTTTCAATCTGCAAAAGGAGTTAACCCCTCCCACCTGTTAACGGAGTCAATGGAGCAAAGCAAGACCTTAGTACGAAATGTAATTTGTACTATGGTGTGGTACGACCAGGCTACTCTCTCTGACTCAGGTTGCCAGATAAGCAGACAAATCCAGCTGGGACCATAATAGCAGAATAGACAAGAGTTTTGTCTATAACCAGGACCTTTTTCATGGGCCAATCAAACCTTGTGCAGGCCTGTATAGAGACTCACTGACTTGAAAAACATTTCCTGATTTTAATCATGGGCAAAAGACATGTGTGAAGGTTAAATTTATCCATTGTGAGAAAACTAAAAAATCGTATCTCATCTTTATAAAAAGGGATTCCGAACACAGTCTAAGAATATAGCACAAATACTGGTTTAAACTGGATTATACTGGTTTATAGTGGTTATGGGGTCTATGAGATGATTTTCACATAACATAAACATAATTTCTCTCACATTCGTCCGTTTCCATTCCAGTTTTCCGTTCCTCCCACACAACTTTACCACTGTAGAATTCAATCACTTCAGCCCCACAAGATCCAGGAGCCAATACCGACGCTCTCCGGATCCGACACATAAGTATTAAAATAGCAAACACTGCACTGTTTGATTTGACATTTCCGCACAGAGACAAGAAGCATGACTACAATACGGGTTGACAGGATTACAGACCAGAATATATGTGTACGTTGTTTGCCCAGTGGGACCACAATGCACGGAGGAAAGTGAAGGCTTAGCACTCGAGTTGGTCTAAAAAACCGCCTGGAAGGGATTACAGCCACGACACATGTACTTGATATTCAACAGGATACATATACAGAGACTTCAAAGGCCGTAGCGCTACAATGCTAACGAAGCAGGCATTAATACCAACTTAGTTCTGTCAGACTCCGTGGATAAGCAGTGAATTAGACAGCTCAAAACACAAATATTTTTTTCACATATGGAGAGATTAATATATGCTCAGAAGTCGTGGATAATCCGTGGGTTTTAAATAAATCTCGGCGTGCTAAAGTCTCAGTGGGAGTTCGATGGGATTGAGTGTGTATGTAATGGCTGAACAAATATGAAGCGTGTCGCGTAACCCGGATTAAAGAAGTGACAAGAGTCAAACGGCACTAAACATAAAAAATAACATCAGATTAACACAGTTAGACCTTAATCCACTACGTTTACCTGGGATTTTTATTTTTTTTCCATTACAAGGCATATGCATGTACGTAGCTTAGACACATGATACTAGGTGGATAAGATTGATCCTTTATTCGTCCCACGGTGGGAAAATTCCAGTGTTGCATCTCCAGTTACAGAGCAGTAGGAATGATGATTACAGAGCACAAGATAAATGAACAATAAATATATACTAAAAAACAATTAGGACACTGGATGCAATTTGCTGATACATTGATTTAATATGTGCTGTCATAAAATAAATAAAATATACTAAAAATGATCATTATAAAATAG